TTGCCTCCCATCCTGTGCCACCCTCCCCCCCAACCCCACATTTCCCCTGTCCAAAATCTCCATCACCCTTTATGGTACATTCAAATCTATCAAGAAATGGCTACAACCACAGCCGACTGTGCTTTTTAAAAAAGCTCCGTGCTTTTTCAAAAGTCACCTTGTCTTTGTGTCTCCCTCAATTAATTACAGTTGGTGGAAAGCAATATTTTTATACATCTAACCACACTGAAATGTCACTATCCATTTTCCAACTGAGTAAAAAGAAAAAAAAACACACACAAAGAAAACAATACCTCACTGCTAATGGAAAATTGCTGTCTAAGGTGGATGGGAGCAATTGCTTGGAATCCTTCTCGAAGGAAAAAATGCCAGGTGGTTTTCGAGGGTTCGAAAGTCATTCCCTCCTGCATCCCCATGAGGAGGAAGCTGGTAGATACACAACTGTCTGCAATTGACAAAGCAACGGACCCAAGAAAGAACTGACTGGTAAGCTTGGAATAAATTTCTCCAATGCTATCGGGCGCCATCCGCTCATGTCCTGTTATGACGACCACTCAGCACTGACTGAGCGCTTACAGGGTGCCAGGCTCTGTGCTAAATGCATTATATACACTATCTCGTTTAATCCTCCTGACAGCCCCAAGTGGTCATTATAATTATTATCCTGTTGGGGGAGGTTATGGAGAGGACATGACCGCCATTTGACCCAAGAGCCGCCCCGGGAGCAAGTGGAGACTCCTCACCCCCCTCCCTTGTCCTTGAAATGTACAAGTATTCCCCCAGACGGAGCCACTCCAAGGACACAGCTACGGAGAGCATCTGGAAGTATACATGACTGAACCCTGTTCTGGCCTCTATAAAAACTTTTAATATTCAGGCAAGCAGGTACAGAGGTCTACTCCTCTCACAGCCACCTATACATTTTCTTGTTTATTACACCTGCCACCTACCCATCGGGAACGGTCCCTTTCTTGTGTCTCCGTGTATGGGGGGCCAGTTTCAAATTTCACCCGGGGAAGCTCTCAAGATATCGAACCAACATATCCCCATTTTACAGATGAGGTAACTGACACACAGAGAGGTTCAACAATTTCCCAGCGTGTCAAAGCAACAAAGTGTTAGAGCTGGTTTGGAGCCATTTAACCTGATTTCAAAACTCTCATTCTTTGCTACTAAACTATACACATCTTCCACCTAAAAACAATAATTAAAATAGGGTGCCTGGGTAGCTCAGTCGGTTAAGCCTCCTACTCTTGATTTCGGGTCAGGTCATGATCTCCTGGTTCGTGAGACTGAGCCCCACATCGGGCTCTGGGCTGAGCGTGGAGCCTGCTTGGAACTCTCTCTCTCCCTCTCTCTGCCCCTCCCCTGCTTGTACTCTCTCTGTGTCTCAAAATAAATAAATAAACATTACTAAACAAGTTAAAGATAGCAGTTAATACCACCTACACTGAAGACGACAGGTTCTGCAATCCTTTCTTCTTTTTTCCAA